AAACTGCGAAAATATTGGTCAATTCGTTGGTGATAAGTCGATTGGACTATTGCAATACCTTCTTTATGGTCTCCCAACAATTCATCTTAACAAGCTCCAGCATGTCCAAAATGCCGCAGCTAGACTGATCAGCAGTACTTCACGGTTTGATCACATCACCCCGACATTGATGAATCTACACTGGTTGCCGGTAAAGTCTAGAATAGACTTTAAACTGCTATTAATAGTTTTTAAGGCATTGCATGGGCTGGCACCTGATTACTTAATTGAACTAATAAATATTAAGTCTCCATCTAACTATAATATTAGATCGAACAGAGAAGTTCTTCTTGAGCCACCTTCTGTGAAGACTTTGGCCACGTTAGGTGATCGATCATTTGCCTCCGCGGCACCCATACGCTTTGGAACTCCTTACCTTCATATATCCGAGAGGCTAGCTCTGTTGACAGTTTTAAAAGACTTTTAAAGACATACTTATTTAAGAAAGCCTACATGTAAATAAAGTTCGTAATTTAGGTTAATTTTAAAGACATAATTTTAACTAAATAGTTCTAACTAATTTTATATTCTACACTGTAAAAACTGATTGGTTAAAATGACCAATTTTTTAGGTTGCAACCATTGGCAATTGGTCATTTTGACCAATTGTTTAATTAGTTAGCCGCATTTGACCAATTAAATTTGGTTCCTTTGACTATTACAAATTGGTCGAAAGAATTGGTCATCTTTCGACCAATTTATATAAGTTATTATAACCAACTTTTTATTGGTCATTTAGTTGAGTGTTCACTGTTAATTTCAAGGAGTTATTTCAACTCCACTGAGAATTAAAAATTGGGAGTGAAAATTTTGAAGTTAAATTTACTCGGCCTACGTCTTCGATATATGCATTCGAACATATACTCCACTGAGGGTCAATTTAACTCCACTTAAAGGAGTAAAATTATATAACGGAGTAAATTTTACTCACAAACAGAATAACGGAGTAAATTTTACTCATAATCAAAATAACCGAGTAAATTTTACTTCATATTTTTTACTTGACAATTAATCGTATAGTAGGAGTAAAAATATCGAGTAATATTCCGCCTAGTTTTTACTCGGCCTGTGTAATATAACTCGACCATTACACATAGGAATCCATAGGAATGGCTGAAACTATATTGAAGTTTCTTCAACCTGTCCTTGAATTAGGGCGATCAGTTTGCTATACAAATTCGTATAGTGAAAGCCTGCAGTTTGTGTAAAATCATCCGACAAAGACACAAGATCTAGCTGGTTGACGCGCTTTTTCGTAAATGTTGCCAAGTCAGATTGCTTTTAATATTACCAGTATCGGCTTCTTATTGTTCAATCGCGCGCGACGATCGAGTTTTTCTCGTCAAATTAATTTACTGTCATTGCTCTCAGTATATCAGTTGTTTATTTTTGATTTGCTGCGTAAATCTGTAATTTGAACTTGTGGAATGTCCTGCTGCTGAATTCTGCTGAATATAATTTGCGCCAAGTGGAAGTTTCAACGTTTCAACCAATTACCAGAGGAGGAGTGAGGACTATACCGGCATGCAACGCGGTCAGGCGCGGTTTTTTACATATTATCGATTTCTCGCTCTGCGCCGTCATTGTTCGGTCGGCTTTCGCTGTGTTTACACCTCGAGGTTTTAAAAGATTCGGAAAAGATTTATCGAAAAAAAATTGTAAAATGGTGGATTTTTGCACTATGCATGGAAAGAAAGCTTCGTTTTTGGGTGGATACGAGCTTCTGTGTGTTCACTGTGTGTCAAAACAGCCTTTAATCTTGATTCCGGAAGAATTACCGTGTGATGAACTTGAATGTCGTGAGGACGTGAGGTTCATGTTTAATTGTTTATAGTTTTTAATACAGATAGTTCGAAGAATAGTCCTTTGTCCAGCTGTGGTTAACGGGATAAAAATTGATGAAATGTTTGCTGATGCGGTAGTCCTCCACTGGTACAAATTCACTCTAGTTGTGTTTTTAAGGTGAGATGATTTTTATATAAAAATAGAAATATAAAAATGCTCCTATGTTGTTGTTGTATAAATACAGCAGTATTAAACGTATTTTTATTTCATATCATGTAGTTCTTCGACCCTAATGATCTACGGGAAGGAAGTATAAACAAAGAATATAGCAATGTTATGTTGTGGGAGTTTGACATTTCAACATCACCAACATCCCAAGCAATCCCACCATGTGACCCAGATAGTCAAGATGATGAGCTGGATAGTGTACTTCCACCAATAGAATTACATCAGCCAACTGATTGTATAACTGTTTTAATTTACCAATAAACCCTGTTTGCCCTGACAGACATTCATACACACCGAATGATGGAAGAAGCGCCCAGTGGTAGCATTGTTGTAAAGAATGAAATGGAGGAAATTCAACACTATCGCAACACTATATATAAATGTATTGACTACTGTGTGATGCATTGCAAGGATTTATACTGATCAACCAGTTATCTATGCTCAAATGATCAACCAGTTGTCTATTATTTTACTCTGCCTAATGCCAGATTATTTTACTGTCTAATACTAGACTATTTACTCATCAGGGGGAGAGTGCTGACACTCAATGGGTTAAAAAACATTGAAAGAAAATGTTTAGCAGAAGCTGAAAAATTGTTTATTGGTGTCTGGTGTAATACTGATATTTCTTTTATTTGTAAGGATAGAGCTGGGGAGCTTCTAATGGTACAGTCTTGGCCCTACCCCAGTGAGTTTTCCTGTACTGCATGTGTTTTTGTCACTTCCCTGATTATACCATAAGTATTGTATCCCATGGACACCATCTTATCAGTTCTGCAGTTTTTTGACAATCTACCGTAGACCTTCACCTAAAAGCACTGGGCTTATATTCTTTCGTAAGCCATTTTTGATGGGCTTACACAAGGGGGGGCTTATACACGAGGGGGGGGGGGATCTTATATTCAGAGGTTTATGGTATGTATGGTTTTCATGATTTTCAGTGTATAGTCTTCCCTTGCTCATCACAAATTAATAAAAAGATTACACACTACATAATTGATGTTGATAAAATTTATTTATTTTAAAATCGAAAAAATATTAACATAATATTGCTGTGCTTAAAGATAATTAAAATGTTTTTAAAAATAAAATTTTATGCACACAATTTTAAAATATTGCACACATTCATTTCACCAGTACACATGGATGCTATATGATAGAGTATATGAAAGGTGATGCTTTTGCTCTAGCTTAATGATGTATTAAAACAATCTAGAGGTATTACATAATTGGTAAACTTCTTCAATTGTAATGATTTGCATGATTTTCTGCAACAGATATGAATTCAATGAATGCTTTATCTTCCTCAAATGTCCATTTATGAAGTTTAACTGGGAATTTCTTTGGAGGAGTCGTTTAATCTTTCTGATAAGAAACTACAAAACAAACAGCAAAAGTGAGAGGGGCAATGTTAGTGCCAGCACAATTAGACAACAACAAAGAAACTCATGGATTTTAACCAGGATTGTGTGCATGCTTCTCCAGGAAATTCGTGTACTATAGGTTTTCTGGAATGCTCAGCATTGAAAAATAATGTTGGGGTACGGGTGGATAGAAATTGCCCAACATTGTCATGAGTTTGTGAACAAGAGGTATAAAATAGAAGAAATACATCTCCTATACAGACTAGCAGAAATACTGTTTAAAGTCAATCTTAAAACAATTGCCCAATTTTTAAAGCAGAATTCTGCCCAACTAAACACTGACTGGAGGGGTTGCAACCCCCCCCCCCCAGTCTCATATGCCTATGGACAGAAATTCTCCCAGGCAAAAAAGCATTAAAATACAATGTTACTATCACTATGATAATGACTCAAGCACCCATTATTAACATATTGTTTCATTAAAAATATGCAATGTTTTTGTGTAATCATACTGTATTTTTAATATGTTTGTAAAAACATTTGTACTTTTAAATACACCTTGGCTTTGAACTCTGAAACAAAATTCGGCCTGATGTTGAATTTTTCAAACGAGAAATTCTGTGTCTTTTACTATTAGGTTTCCCTCCGGGAAATATGTACGAACATATATGCGTATGTTTCAAAATTATCATGGAAAATAGTGGTTATAGTACAATAATTTCCTTCGCGCCATGATGATTATCAGGCGGTCTATTCCCGCCATCAGCGATAGAATATAGCAAAAGTACCCCATTTTCAAACCGCGATTACTCGTCGGTTTAGTGGAGCAAATTCATGTTTTAAAGTAACAGTAGAAAGAATAAATCTTCCCGAATTCGATGCCGTGTTTTGTTTTTATTTTCCTAAAAAAAAAGTGAATTTGCTTCTGCATTATATCAAGGTCATTTTATTGGCGTGTCCACTGACCCGGAACAAGCATAATTACAATACGTAATTAGCATAACTAAAAAGCAATTCCTGTACCAAATAAGTAAAAAATAGTTTAATTAGGTTCTTAAAAAATACAAATATAAAAACATACCTTCGAAAAAACGAGATATACGAAGCCAAAATCGCAATGTATTTCAACAACTTTTCGCCAAACGTTTGTTGAAAATCGTAATTGTGAATAATAATCAGACGCAATGCATTGTGGGAAGACCCTCATTCCTCCTCTGACCAATTACCATGCTTAGAATATATCACGTGTTGTAGTAATTCAATCTTTTCACACCAGCGCGCTAAGTTCGATCTTTTGGGAGCAAACATTCAAACAGGAAAGATTTATATTCAAATTTTCTGCTCATAAAGATCGATTTAACTTAATAGAACACAAGGAGATTGTTTTCAAAGGTATGTCTCTTGTGTATTTACTTATTTGTATGCGGGTAGTTACTTGACAGACTGTGTAGTTATATTTTTAAATCGAAGGCCTGTATTTTATAGTCGCTTTGTGCCGATTTTACGAAGGCATCTAAACGCGTTCAGTTGTAAATTTCGATTTACATAACAGTCTCTACTTATCTGTATTGTTAAGAAAATCGTATACGGCCTATTTCTGTGATATACATATGTGTTGTTCTGTTAAGTACATTATTATATACATGACAAAATTACTGCAATCTGATTGGTTAAGAGCAGTGCAATTATTTCATTAATTGCACTCTCCAGGAGTGCAATTAATGATTTTCGTGATGGCTGGGGGGCAGTGCTTCGACTTTGGCAAAGCAAAATTTCTCGTTTTTGTCCTTTTTTTTCGCAAAATTTCCCTTCCCAAAATCCTAAATTTCCTTCCATTTTTCCTTCCAATCTCAGTTTAAAATAGTATAGTAAATTTTGTATTGTACTTTATTCCGATGTAAATTGAAGGTGTACTGCAGTATTCAAATAGTGAAATTCTAATTTAACCTGAAACAACATGTTCTGTTGTCTCATTTTTTGTCTGTTTTCTCGAAACGAGTGAACGACATAGTAAAACGACTTTTTTATGAATTTGCTTTTGGACCAGACATTATTCCTGCACGCTTTCTACTCCGTTTACATTTGAAAACTACTTGATGCCGACTCAATGACTAAATATGAGCCATCATAATTTATAAATTACTTTTTTTGGCTTAGAAATTACAGTTTCCCTTTTTCCGACTGTTTGTTTTTAATTTTGGGTAGTGATGGGCGATTACCGATTACTTGGTATCGATACCACCCGATACCAGGCCCAAACACGAAGTAGTCGATACTGCACGGTATCGAAAAAGTGCTTCGATTACTTTTAAAATAAGACATTCATTATAATCCTGCAGTTGTGTCATCATTTTCATGGTTATTTCTAATAAAATTTATGTACTTTTTGGTATTTTGCTGCATTTATCAATTTAATCTAACTTCCTTTATACTTTATTTGACATTCTATTCTCGCCGACAGAATAAATTATGAAAAAGGCGGGAAATAAAGTAATTTTTGTTTTTTTATGGATCAAAATGGCGGATCAATCGTTACGGTTAAAAATATGTAACTTTTTGAAAATTGGAGGAAGTAATCGTTTGGGTAATCGATACCTCGATACTTGAACCAAAAAGTAATCGGTATCGTATCGAAACCGATACTGGTGGTATCGCCCATCACTAATTTTGGGTTATAAAAATTAAAAACCCGCGAAAAAATTGAGCCCCCGTTATTTATATACAAGTACTCTACTCATTCACGGAAGACCTGTTAAGTCCCAAATTACCCCCATTCATCCTTGATGGTTATGTAAATATCCAAAGTATTGTTTTTAACTTTTTATAAATGTTTTTGAACTCAAAAGTTCATAATAAAGTGTTTAACCATTATTAAATTACTAGAAATTACTGAAAAAGTTTAAATGGTAAAATTTCCTTCCCTTTTCCTTCCAAATGGCCGAATTTCCTTCCAATTTCCTTCCAAGTCTTATTTCCTTTTATTTTTCCTTCCAAATGCCAAAATATCCTTTTGGAAGGAAATTTCCTTCCGAGTGGAAGCTCTGGGGCAGGTGTTTTCCTTCTGTTCGAGTTTTCCCAACTTCCACGAGTGTTGATATAACTATATATCAATATGGAAAAAATGTTTTATATTTTTTTATAATATAGCAATGTCAAAAGCCAGAAGGATAAGAAAAATTTTCGTGTTTACAAGCGGCGGAAAATTTTCCGTGTTGACATTGAGTTATATCAACACGGCTCTTAGCCAATCAGCGTTCAGAATTTACAAATGCTATATTATAAATCAATATAATATATGTTGTCGCTTCGTTTCCAAGAACCCACACAGTATATCAATATACCAACCCTACTACCGACAGTCTGGCCCTCTCTTTCACGAACCGCCTGACAGAAACTATTCACAGAATTTTTCCACAAAAGAAAGTAACCCGTCATCGAAATAACAAACCTTGGATCACTCCGCAACCATCAAACAACTTATCGCTGATCGCCAAAAAGCTTTCCATTGCCAAAACATACCCGCGTGGAAATCTTTGAAATATATGGTTCAACAAGAAATCATGCAAATCTAGGAAAACAACTTTTTATAAAACAGAATCGAAGTCGGAAACATTTGAAGAAGGACGACTGTCGAAGGTGGTGGAAAATTGTAAACACCATGGCGGGAAAACCGGAGAAAAACAATTGTTTCAATTTCGAGCGTGATGGGATAATCCTATAGATCAGTCTGAATTGGCCAACAACCTAAACGAGTTTTACGCATCAGTAAATAATGACATTCCAACACTCGACGTAACAAAACTTCCCACCTTCCTCCCAGACGCCGAACCTACCCCGAGGCTTGAACCGTATGAAGTATGTAAGAAGTTATCAACAATCAAACCTTTCAAATCCAGCGGCCCAGACAATATTCCTTGTCGAATCTTAAGGGATATATTCGATTTCCTTTAAGAACTTTCCGAGCCTGTGCTGGTGTAATGTACTCAGGTGAATAAGATGTTTGTGCGATGTTACTCTGAGTGTATATCCACACCGGGCAGGCCTGAAAAATATGCCTGGCCA